CCCCCAGAGAAGGAGCCTCCATAACCTCTCGGGGCAGCCTGTCCCAGTGTCTGGCACACTCACAGTAAATAAGTTTTTCCTCATGTTTCAGTGGAACCTCCTGTGTTCCAGCCTGTGCCCATTGCCCCTTGTCCTGTCACTGGCCATCACTGAAAAGAGTCTGGCCCCATCCTCTTGACACCCGCCCTTTAGATAAACACTGATAAGGTCCCTTCTCAGTCTGTTCTTCTCCAGGCTAAACAGACCCAGCTCTCTCAGTCTTTCCTCATAAGAAAGATGCTTTTTGTAGCCTCCACTGGACTCTCTCCAGAAGTTCCCTGTCTCTCTCAAACTGGGGAGCCCAGAACTGGACACAATACTCCAAATGTGGCCTCACCAGGGCAGAGTAGAGGGGGAGGAGAACCTCCCTCGACCTGCTGGTCACACTCTTCTCAATGCCCCCCAGGAGACCACTGGCCTTCTTGGCCACAAGGGCACATTGCTGGTTCATGGTCAACTGATCATCCACCAGCACTCCCAGGTCCTTCTCTGCAGGGCTGCTTTCCAGCAGGTCAACCCCCAACCTGTACTGGTGCTGGGGGTTATTCCTCCCCAGGTGCAGGACTTCAAGCGCAGGGAGCAGCATTGTCCCCTGTGTTCCCAAGTGGCAAAGCACAGCACTGCCCAGCTTTCAGGGACTCCTCTGCACACCACATCTCACCACGGACATGCCAGGTAACCCAGACCCAGCTGGCGGAGCGTGCGGCAGCCGTGCGGTTCTGTGATTACTGGTAACAAGAAGGGGGACGCGGTCTGTTCTTTTAAGGTTCCCTATTAGGATGCTCCACATCATGTTGGTGTTCTGATGCTTCAGGAAATTTAATCATGGACCAATGTGGGAAAAAAAAAGGGTTGGAGGGTTGAAAAAGGGGCTGGAATAAAACTGGTAAGCTGGCATGTCTCAGCTGTGGGAGAAGCTAAACATCTCTCAGTAAGAGATCCTGATTACACAGGACATTTCTAGCTAAAGCAAAGACAGGCAATATTAAGCCAGGCCTCTGATTCAGTGGCTGTTTAGAGCAGATTCCCAGGTTTCAGCTCACAAGTAAGCCAAGGATGAAGGGCTCATCCCTGTTGATGTCTCCAACCCACATTGCCTGGTGGATCCAAACAGCCTCTTGACTCCAGCAGTGATGCCCAGGTTTGTCCCAGGGATGCAATAGCACTTGGAAGCTCAAACTACACACCAGGAACTAGTAAGAGTGGTGCCAGAACAGCCTCCATCCTTGTAAACTCAGATCTGTGCTCTGGAGCTCAGGGACCAGCTAGTTTTGAGCTTCATATCCTACAAAGAGAAGCTTCTGATCCAAAAATGGGGTAGTCTCACACCTTGTAGTTAGCTAAAAGTTTCTTTAAAGTTTTGGTTCTGTAAAAAAGTCCATCTCCAGATTTTCAGAGGAGACATCAGGATGTGCTGACCCTGAGCTTCTCACAGTGCAGACACTCTGAGTGGGGAAAATATGTCCCCCTAACCAGAGTAAATCAATCACTATTTCTTCTGCGCTTATCCCCCAGGAGTGGTCCAGCACCCTGGAGAAGGTGCCAGAAGAGAAAGGCAGCTGCTCTGACGAGCAAACACTGCCTCCATCATGATCTCCAAAGCACACTTTGACCCACGTCTGGGTGTTCAGCACTCAGACACTGGTGATCTAGGAAGGGAACAGCCCAGAGCGCTGCTGCAACAGCCCTCCAACACAGCAGAAAAATTATCCTTACGTTTCTTGCCATTGATGTGATCCAGGAAGTTAATGGAGTCTTTCACCACGCAGTCACACACGTTACAGTAATACCTGGCAGGAGAAAGAGAAAACATGGACCCCAAATCATGAGACAAACCTCATCCTGTAGATCTCTGAGATCATCTAAAACGTGAAACCTGCATGCCATTTGGGATATGGATTGTTACTCCAGGGCCAGAGGGAAGCTACTTCCATTACAGTGGAAAGGACTGTGCAAAGGCACACCCCAGACTGACAGAGCTGCCTGGGTTAACACTGGAAGCACCAGCTCGTACACCGACAGCACTCTGACAGACAACAGAAACCAAATTATGAGCTGATCTGTAATACATCAGCCATAGCATCTTCCCCTTCCAGTCACAACCCACAGGGTGGGATGGACTGTGTGACAGCGCAGGGCCTGGCTGCCCTGGGCTGGCCACGCAGCCCAGGTTTCCAGCCTGCAGCCTGCTGAAGGCTCTCACCTACCTGTAAGGTCAGTCCTCCCATCCCTATTGCCTCGCAGCAGCAAGTCCCTGCTTTACACAGCAGCGCTTTGTGCCCATCGAAAGAGCTACTGCAAAAACCCAGCCAGGGCTCGTGCTTCCATCCCTGGATGCTGTTCAGGGCTGAGCATCTCCCTGGCACTGCTGGCTCTTAGGCTATGACAGTAAGACACTAACAGGCTTACTCCTACAGTGGCACAAGCTTAAGGTATTCTTCTCAACCTCTCAATGGCTTAGAATGAGCTAAGAATCCTTTCAGCCTTTGACCAAACATGATCCACACAAACAGTGGCCAAATACCATTCCTAAGGACAGGTATCTGGATGATTCTCCCATTTCTAGTGCACAGATACCCAGATCAGAAACTCAAATCAAGAGCAGAGGGGGTCTCACTGCCCGCAGACTCCTGGCTTAACAAAACCCAAGCAGGCAGCAGAGATCTGCCTCAGTTGTTTCTACGGGAGAGCAAAGCAGAATCACCCAGAATTGCCTGGATTGGAAAAGCCCTTTAAGATCATGGAGTCCAACCATTAACCCAACACTGACAAGTCCTGACTAACCCATGTCCCTCAGCACTATGTCTACACGACTCTTCAACCCCTCCAGGGATGGGGACTCCACCACTGCCCTGGGCAACCCCTTCCAATGCCTCAGAACCCTTTCAGCAAAGAAATTCTTCCTCACATCCAATCTCAACTGCCCTTGGTGCAACTTGAGGCCATTTCCTCTTGTCCTGTCACTTGTTCCTTGGTTGAACAGACCCACCCCCACCTCTCTGCACCCTCCTTTCAGGGAGTTGGAGAGAGTGAGGTGGTCTCCCCTGAAAAAACACTGATATCAAGTAATAACACCTGAAGGGGCTCAGCCTGCTCCCTCTCTTCCATACATTACCCCGGAGGACCCAGTTTAAGAGTAACACAGTGCAGCACCATTGCACCAGGCTCAAAACACGGGAGGAAATCAGCCCCTGGTGCACCATAAGGGCTCACTGCTGTGTCACAGCCCCTGCTCTCACCAGAACTCTGAGACTCCAACTAAAAGATCGTGACCTACCCTCCCATCTCAGACTGAGGGGTAGTTTTGGTGATGACGATGGTTTTCCCCAGCTTCGATTCCAGGTCCACTTTGTAGTCTCGGTGCCGCAGAAGTTCCCTTTTGACAGGCTGAGCTGGTTTGCCTAAAAAAACAAATTGTTTATTGGAAAAAGCCAAGCTTGACATGCTGGATTTCACATTGCCCTTGATGAAGAGGGGTCTGCTGGGAACCTGGGAACTACTTGATTCATGCCAAAATTACACTTTTAAAAAAATCAGTAAAGAATTTAATTTCCTCCTCACTATTTCCTGGTTCCTGTTAGAACCAGGGAGATCTGTGAGGTATCTCCAGGTCTGATGTGGGTCATACTCTGAGATCTCCTTGTTTCCAAGGGCTGATTGTTCCTCTCCCTCCCCAAAGAACAGGCAGACAGAGGCAAAGGTTGTCAGTAATTACTTTTGTCAAAAAAATATATTCAGTGGCAAGCACAGGAAAAAGGATCGGAGCAAGTCAGCCTTGAACTGCTGCTATTTCCCTTTGGGATTCCACTTCAAGCTGCTCTCTCTCAAACTCAAAGGGTTTGGCTGACTCACTGCCAAATCAGCAAAGCTTGCCTGGAGTCAGTACACCACGCACCATCTTTCTTTTCTCTCTCTTCTGTGAGCCGCTTCTCTGCAAGTTTCTCGTATTCATCTTTGTCCCACTTTCGGCGGAAGTCCAAGTTCTTAGTCTGAGAAGGAAACAAAGTGTATTTACATTTGTTATCCAGTTTGACCAGCTCTGAGGGGGGACTGGGAAAAGAGGTGGAATCACCTGGCCTGCAAGACCACAGCAGTCAACTGAGGACACTACATTATATCCCCATGTCCTCTGTTTTCATATCTTGGAATTAAGGATGTAGCTTAAGAGCATAACACTCAGCCTGCTTATATCTACTTCTTCTAGAAGGATTTCAAAGCCCCAAGAAAAGTAATGAGTTTATCTTAATAGCTCCTGAGATGAAGAAGGACTTGGGGTGCTGGGGGAAGAGAAGCTCAACATGAGCCGGCAATGTGCGCTCACAGCCCAGAGGCCAATAACCGTGTCCTGGGCTGCATCCAGAGCAGCGTGGGCAGCAGGTCGAGGGAGGGGATTCTGCCCCTCTGCTCTGCTCTCCTGAGACCCCCCTGCAGTGCTGCCTCCAGTTCTGGGGCCACCAACAGCAGAAGGACATGGACCTACTGGAGCCAGTCCAGAGGAGGCCACGAGGAGGATGC